GACGTGTAATCTTCTCTTTATAAATCAAATATGTTGATAATAGACAAATATTATACAGAATATGCAACAATAGTAACAATTTGATACAATCAATCCATTGGGAATGATATCATTATCCCTACATCGCATTAAAGGTGTTAAAATGCTGAAAATTCAACATAATTGCTTTCTGATTTCTCAATTTGGTAGAGACGAGAGTATACTCGTCGAACTGTCGCATGGTAATAAATCCAATAATTGTGTATCCATAACAGTGTACCTATACAGTTATAGTATATATAGTGACAATATCATAATATAAATCTTAGATTTAAAATGACTCAATGACAGACCTTATGATCTAAAGCGCACACGTTAAACCGTTAAACTTTCTCACAGAAATGGATCACAAAGGTAGAAAAGAATTCCTCGTTTTAACCAAATAACTTTGGTATTTTTAAGTTCCGTCTGTTGTGCAATTTAGGTAAGAGAACTTAGTTGAGATTTCCAACAATTAAGGGAGTTTTGTTTCAGTATTACCAACCAAAAGCTGGTTTCCAGGGTGCACATTTTAAAACTATAGACCCCCCCCCCCCACACACACACACACACACACACAGCCCCGAATTCGTACGGCGTGATAAAAACAAATCAATTTCGGGTGGATTTCTATTGAAGAACAGAACAGATCACACATTTCCGACATTAGGGTGTTACCACAAAATGGATGAAAATATTCTGTGAATTTGAAGTTTTGCACTTGACAATACACCAGTAAGTATTTTATCAACACTTTTTAAAATTCTCTGAATATAGTATCGTTAATTTTACTAGATCTTGGTATCCACCTCACTATGGTTATACCATTTAATGTCATAAGTCATGCCATAGTCAGCGAGTAATGTAGCAACAGAAACAATTGTTTGTCTATACTGTTGTTTTTGTCACGCCAATCTGCTTTCAATATAGAAAATAAATATGCTAGTATGTGGGTACTGTCAGTTGGTCTGTGACTTATAGTAATAAGACTAATATTAGTTTACACTTGTTTATAATAAATACTAATAAATCAGAACACTAGTATATTATGCTGGATCATCGAGTGTTTCAGATATGTATTTGTTTTGTCTCCTGGGCATAGTCATATATGATAACAAACTACATCTTATTCTTGGGTCCAACCATATTCCTGAAGCAATGGCCCGAGAAATCCATCTCTGGCCATTGCTGGATTGACTTATGATACTTGAGTTTTTGAGGGAGTGTGTCTGTTCTTCCCGTTCAATCAAATCTATCCCAAGTACAGCAACATGACAGCCCTTCGTTTAATCTGGGGTCTTCCCTAAACCTTTGGACAGGGATTTGAGGTATTAAAACGGCGAAAGTATTGTTCATCTCTAAACAGTATTGTTTACATTGTATCCGTTTTGATAGGCTCGTTTGTCACGCAATTAGTTTTTCTGCAATATTCTGCTTTGCACTGGTTAATTGGACGTAATTTGAGCTCTGGTTAAAGCGTAATGATTTTGTTACGCAGTTAGCTATTAGTTGTTAATCGTATTATTGACCAATCATAATTTGGAACAGAAATTTGCTTCCATTACAGCAGTGTTAAGTTTGATTAGGTCTAATCAAACGAAACACTGCTAGGAGTGTGGGGGGCAACGTGCTTCCAAATTCCAAAACCTTACTAAGGCTCCACCAATTCTAGTGCTTTGTCAGACTTTTGTCCTTTCTAGTGGGTTCTATACCGAGACCATACGGTTAGTTATAAACCAGCCCCAAACACACCGAACCACCTTGGCACGATCCAGATGAGAAACCTCTTGTATGTGACCAGAATAACGCGACCTTTCCGGAACCAATCCACAAAACTGTACAAACTATAACACCAACCCCAAACCCTTGTTCAGCGTTATGCGTAATACGGATATTTCAAATAACGGACAGGGATCATGGTATATAGCCAATACTCAATTTATGTTCCTAGATTCTGTTATACCTACATGTATATGTTGTAGATCTACATGGCCATGGTTTCATTTATTAGCTTAGTATAACCAGTGTCGTACAATAATATAGTTAAACGCACCCTTGCTGTAAATCAGTTTGAGTGACACGCATGGTGCGTTTGTCGTATCCAATGTCAACATTTAACTCTAAAAGAAATACAAGGTTGCATAGCCCTCTACTCTTGGTTGTCCCCTAGACTTCAGCCCAGTCGGCCTTTAGGTGAATACGGCACCGTTTCTCACCCCAAGCCTTGCTCGACGTATTATGTAATACAGGCAATTTAAGTATCGGTCAGAGATCCTGGTATATAGCCAATACAATTTATATTCCTAGATTATATTATACCCATCTGTTGTAGATCTGCATGGCTATGTTTTCGTACATAAGATTAGTAGCAACAATGCTAGCCCTAACCTTCCTTTGCTGGTGTGTATAACGAGCAAGTTCAGTGACGGGCACTAAGCCTTGTGGTGTGCAATGCGGGTAATGAAAGTAAGGGCCGGAAATCCTGGAATTATACCATCTGTTATAGATGCACATGGCCAAGCTTTCGCATTTTAGATTAATATCTGTCTACCAATGTAGTAACACCTTATTTATGTAAGGGGCATAGACAATACTCAATTTCTGTCCTTATATTATACTCATATGTTGTAGATCTGCATGGCCATGTTCTCGTATATTGGATTAGTAGCAATAACTTCATCCCTCGTGGTGTGCATTACGGCCAATAAGAAACGGCCTTAAATCCTGATATCATGTCCATGCTAGTGACGATCAGAGATCCTGGTATTATGCCCATCTGTTATATATCTACGTGGCCATGTTTTCGTATTTTAGATTATCTGTTTCTACCAATGTAGTAACACCTTATTTACCTATGTAACCTTTCTAGCTGGCGAATATTTAAATAGATCGCGTGCACACGTGCAGTTCATCAACATTCTGAAAGAAAGATGTTCTCACGTTTGTTTATACGTTTAACGGAGTCGGTGTGAAAACACAACACTCTTCTACACGTTACTATACAAACCCTTCTCCGTTTCTGGACAAATAAACAAAACCTATACCAATTATTAAGTTGTTAATGTCGGTTTAATAGCCAAGTGTGCTACATGTTTAGGCAAGGGTAATTTACACTATTTACAGTGGCCATTTTGTTTTATCCCCCCGAATGTGATGTTCTTTGTCTCGTGGATATTACATCACGATTTTACATCCCACCTATTCTTTTAAATCTGCAGGTACACGATATAATAATGTTGCACACGGAGCTCGAACTGGCCGGTCACCCTTTGGCTTGGTGCCGCAGTTTCGATCCCAGGTGTGAGCGTATGTGGCTAGGGGATAAGGGCTTCTTCTCAACCTGGTGGGTTTACTCATGGTGGTCCGGTTACCTCCCACAGCAAAGACCCATATTCTATAATAAAATAAAAGCGCCACTTGTCTGCAATATCACCCTCTCTGTCGACATCACCATTTACATCCTGGATTATATTTTCTGTTGGTGCCGACATATTTAATGAAATAAAATATGGTTTAACGTCCTATTGTTCTGCATCTACCGGGAGGGTCCTCACAGGGCCATGTGGCTGCCCAGGGCAAACGTTTCAGTGACGCCCCTCCCCCTCCCTCCGCATACTGTAACTGCTATGTTCAGTACCTGCGTTCAGTTGATTTTTTTATGATTAAAGAAATTTTAGTTGAATACCTGCAAAGCAAAGGGCGGTGATTTGCTATCTCAGACTCCAAGGTATGTAATGAATAAGTATTGAAAGGGTCGCCCCGGGCTTATGCCCCCCTCAGCCCCCTCCTTTGTGAGGGCCCTGCCTACCGGGATAATGAAGACTGATGTAGGAAATAGAACAATCGAGGTCTCGTGTATACTATTGGTAACACGTTAAAGATACTCTGCCGCTGTCTGGGCAAAACTTTCTTCCTGGCTCGCTGTCATTTGCAACGGGAGGTACAGAAAAGTAAGACGTTATACTCTCTTTCATTTTATTTCATTTACTTCTTCTACGCGGATCGGAAAGTGTGCTAGGGAATTAGAAATGTATTAAGGCCAAAACGACCCCGTTCCATTTCTGTTGAATAATGAGACCATTTCGGTGGATAAACTAAGTTGTATTTGACGAAATACTACCAATTAAATATTGGAAATATTGTTTAACATGTCTGTTGTGCTGGTGTAATTTCAGGATGAACTAACTTATTTGGTCTTAAAATGAAATGGGGATTAAAGCCTCACTGTTCTACACCGACTGGGCTAATGAGGACTGACATACGCCATGCAGTGTGCTATGGGGCGAATTGGGCCTGTTCTTTTTTCGAAATCCAACACGACAACGTGTACACGGGACCTCGGTTTTTCGTCCTACCAGAACGACTAGATATTGTTCCTTGCCAGACCCACCTTCCTGCACCACTGACAATGGGAAACCCTGCGGGCAGCGGGCAGAAAATTTTCTGGATCTGCAGTTTGAGTTAGGGAACTAAACACCCTGAATTAAAATCAGAATTTTGTGATTATTTGAAACTCTTGTTGAAAATTGTATCACGCCACCAAAAGTCAGTAAAAGTATTGGATTTCGGGCCCTTCATTTGGTGGGATGGAATACTATTCATATTTTTCCTTTCATTCACTAAAATTATATAATTAGCAAATTTGCACCCCCCCCCCACCTCCCAGCTCATACCCCCAGCTCACACCCCCAGCTCGTACGCCTATGCTCATAAAGTTATTAATATAAATTCAGAGGCCACCAAGCCCCCGATTTGAGATGCAAAATTCAATATACATGTAGATGATAAATGTAGTTTAACGTCTTGTCAACAGAATACTTTGGTCATTTTGAGACTAACATTGTTATTGTTTTCTATGGTCCTGTGGGCAGGGCTAGAGAGGATAAGTTTGCGCGGACAGCTCCGCCAAATTCAAATATTTCTACACGTGCACTCCATATCGCCAAGATTCCAAACCCTTAAATTTCAACAATTTCCTTAAGTATATTTTAAACGTTTATTTATAATAGTTCTAGTATATATTATATACAATAATAGTACAAAAATAAATTATACACAAATATTCGAATAAATAATATTATCAAGAGAAAGAATGTAAAGCGAAAGTATAAGTAAGTAATGAAGACGAAAGATTTAAAAGATTTGAAAGATTTTTTGCTACATTATTAATCAGTGTGGGTGGCATTTACTCAACAAAAGTCTAGATAACAAGACTTTTCACAAACGTTCACTTTTGGTCCCGTCAATGAATCCATTAATCATCTCGCACTATGGGTAAAGAGCTGAGAGTTGTCTACCGTACCATTCCCATACAAGAACTCTCACCGTGTTTCAATAACAATGACATGCGCGAAAATGTCTTGGAACAACTTTTACATCCATATTTTTTAATTTCAGCGTGGGTCTGAAGATGTGCTCGAAGATTAGAACGATCGGCAAAAGCACGACCACAATGTTGACAAGAAAATGGCTTCTCGCCAGTATGAGTCCTGATATGACCTTGTAATAACCAAGGTCGAGAAAAAGCTTTACCGCATAATTTACACTTACAGGGTAATGTGTGAGTTCTTATGTGCATTTTTAAAGCTCCCAGGGAGGAATATGATTTATCGCAATATTTACATCTAAATTCTTTTTTAACTTGCTGAGAACAGTGGAATTGTCTATGTTTTGAAAGCCCCCCGAATGTGGAATAACTCTTCTGACAGGCTTCGCATTGGTAGCGTGGTGGCGAATGAGCATTGAGCTGTACTGGTTCAGATACGTCTGGAAGTTTCTGACCGTTCCAGTGGTTCATATTTTGGGGCTCACTCATTCCATTTCTTAACCACGAAAACCAGGAATTCAAATTGTTACGGAAACTGGAATCGTGGAAAAGACGGTATGGATTTGGGTTTGCGAACATTGGGTTCCTATCTCGTAGCAGACGGATAGCATCTAGCTGTTGTGTTGCTGTTGGGTTGGCACAATATGGAAGCACTGGTTGGGGAATAAGTGTTGTGTTTTGCGGTAGCTTGGTCTCTATACGTGCCTTCACGGTTGTTGGAGTGAAGACTGTTTTTGGGGTCTGATTACGTCCCTTGACAGAAGGCTCAATAAGCCACGGTCGCACAATGGGTTTAACTGCACTCTTGGGGGCTTCTTTCTGGTCAGTGTTACCACATTGGCTATTCATTTTCTCACTAACTGGTGTCTCGTGGGAGAGTGTCACAAATTGATCGGTTAATTTGTTGGTTTTTAACATGTCCTCCATCATATTAGAACGTTTAACAACAACCTCATTCACGTGCGAGAATCTGGTGTGGCGTGGTGAGTTGTCTACAAGATGGGCATGTCGGAGGATGTCAGATTGCGTCATCAATTTATGTCCATCAAAAACACTTGTGTCATCAGTTACATCTGAAATAAGGGAAGAAAATAGAAATAGAAGCACGTGTTATCTTCATCAAGCCACTTTTAATATTAAATAATATAATGTATACATTTTCCCCAATTACAGCTATGTAAATGATTTATATTAGAGGGAAAATAATAATTCATTTTAAAACATTCTCAACGACACGAAATTCTGTTAAGTAGGATATAAAAGTAACTGTTCGATAAATGTATTGTACTAATTGTTAAAACTGAAAACAAAACTGGGTGGACCCTTAAGAACGTTAAATTTAAGCCCAAAATTCTTTTCTATTAAATCTGACATTTGGAATAATAAATTAATTCTGACAATGGTTATTTAATAATCATCTTGGCATTTACTGCTCGATACATCCTTTTTGTAAATTAATGTGTGCGAAGTATTAAACATTTTGATTAAAATTAAAAGGCATGGATCTGCGGAAATTTTAAATCTACATATATAATTACAAATTTACAAATTTGGAGTACACATTTTTTTTTAATTAGAAAGAAAAGTTTGTTTGGTGTACATAAAAATATTCCTAAGAATAAGCAATAATAGCGCATTTAATTTTATCTAATATAAAGAGTTCTTCTCATAATATTTAATACTGATTTTTAATGGTATCTAATAAAAATTTCAATAATATCTGATAATAATAGTAATGCTATCTAATAATAATTGTATTAAACATCTAATAATAATTGTAATAAACATCTAATAATAATTGTAATGTTATTTATATTTAACATTATTATTTATTAACTAGATGTGAGATATATCCGTGAAATATGGCATGCGTAGGAGTTCTGAATGATTGAAAGAAATGGGGTTTAATGAAATACTACTCATAAAACAGGGGTATTAGATTTTGATCAAATGATTAAACTAATATTTCAGTTGTAGTTTCAAATTTCAAATATTACCGAATTTCTATAAACTAATCTGATAATAAAATGAATAACTCTGCAGGTCGACTTTGTCTGTTTTACCAACCAGATGACGGAAATGACGTGATTTAAGATGTGAAGTAATACTGTATCAAATAAATCAGCAATAAAAAGACAACCCGCGGTGATAAAATGAACCGCTAGTTAAATGTTATCATGATAAAAAAAATCTCTGTAGGAATTCTAATCGTGCATGATCCCTATCACCGTGGGTGTCTACTTAACATTATCTTTATGTAATGATTTTATAACCCCGAGTTGACTTGAGTAACTTATATCATATCAAGATTACAGAAAAACAAGATTGTTATGAACAAAATATATTTAATTTAAACATTTAATGACTATACATCTTCCGCTAATTAACTTAGCACTTGATGTTTTGTTTTTTTCTTTTAATTTATTAACACTTTCATTTTGTTTCTATTTTAAAGACGGCGGCACTTAAGCAATGAGTGTACATCCATTTCTCGTCACCCACGGCAAATATTTAAATGGAAAATTTTAAAAATGAAATGATACCATTTGTATGATTGAAATCACACAATTCGGGTGATCAAAAAACAACACACTAAAGCGTTTTCCCAAATCAGTTTTCCTTTTCCGTATATAACTGTCTGCACTACAGTACTGTGTATACAATGAACATTTAGAAAATTATTTAAAAACAGAAACATACAATATATAAATTCTTGACTGATATGGACCTAACACATATATGTTAGTAGTAATTAACATATTTAATAAAAACCAGAATGGTGATATTAATAATGTTCCATTTATTTTTTAGTAGTGTGTTTTTTTTTTTAGAACACGAGCCAATCTGCCACAGATGTGATTCTATTCAATTATATTTTACAAATACAGTATAAGTATTTTGTGTCTATTTTTGCCCTTAATATTTTAAAAACGCACTTTGCGCTTTCTTAAAAACCACTTATTATTAATTAATGATTAATCATTGTTGTGATTACGACACTCTGTGTTATCTTGTGAATGACACAAACACGTGTACTTTCTTCTTGTAAAGTCATAATTATACAGACTTTTTAAAATGCATACAAATGTATACTGTCGTCTTAAAAAGTCAATAATTATAATGCCTCGTTAAAGAACAAATTTATACTGTTTTAAAAACCCCTGATAATACTACCTTATCATTGAACAAGATTATACCGTCTTATCAAAGAACAAAATTATACTGTTTTATTAAAGGACAACACTATAATGTCTTATTAAAGAACAAAAGTATACTCTTTTATTAAAGATCAAAATTATATTGTCTTATTTTTTTAAAAATTAAATATCAAAAAAATATCGTCTTATCAAAGAACAAAAGAATACCGTCTTATTAAAAAACTATAATAAACAGTTATATTAAAGATCAAAATTATATCATCTTATAAAAATAAATTGAAATCAATCCTTAATTAAGCTACCCTTACCTATTTCAATATACTCCATTGAAGACAATCTATATTCAACTTCTTCTTTTTCCGAAGGATCAGGGTTCTTTTCCATCAACAATGCTCTCTCGGCATAACAAATTTCTTCTTCAGGAACTAAATCATCCAAGACACAAAGGTGCCGACAAATGTGTGAATAACGGTACATGAGAATTCTTTGATATAAGTACAAAGTAGTGTTACAGACTTCGATGCCAATTAAGCTGAAACTAACAACCCCTAGTGCTATTACCAACCAATCAGAGCATAGATCGACCATTTGTTTCCGAAACCCCGCCCATAAATATATTGGCACGCGCTTTAATCTGACAACAACAGGTGTGACAGTGTGTGACGTCATTGATCACTCTCTCCGCCTCTTAAACACTATGTTAAACGAATGGTGGAGGTCAAAATAAGATGCTTTAACCGAGTGAAAATTGACCACTTGTGGTGCGCATGTCATCAAACAGTTGCAGAGAAATAAACAGATTAACATTAAAGGCCATGGAGACCGGCTGTCGCTTTGACGCCTACTGAGTTTTAATTGCCTTGTCTATTACGCAGAATTCCACCAATATTTAATTCTATATAAAATATCTGTAAATGTAATTCTCTTGAACTTGAATAAGCATTTCTCTAATATAATGACGTGATCAGAGTAGATAATACTCTTTCCTGTTTTTGTCAACATCTAGTAATTAGAAATACACACTTTTTCGTCTTTTACTTTATTGTTCTGTAACATAAGAGGAATTTAAGGGGAGTCTTGGCAGAACCTCCATTTTAATTATAAAACAAAATCTTTAAAAGTTATTTTATTTATTAACACAATATATACCATTTTGATACCTCTAACACAATTATAAAATTTTCTCTAAATAATGTAAAATTTCCTAACAATATACTCTTATATTACTAGCATTAATAGCATACAAATTTACAATAGAACATTTTACCTATGGAAAATTCGCAAGTACTTAAATGCTTATTAACAGTATTAAAAAAATATAAAATTACAATAGATTATTTTATGTGCATAACATTCCCAAATATATAAACTTCAAATATTGATAGCAATAATAATATACAAAAGTACAATATAAAATTTTAGCTATGTTAAATTCTCAAATAAACGAGAAGTGATATAAAGTGTTCTGTTGGTTGTTTGTTTTCCTTGTGTATACAATTTTCTTAATTTGTATTTGTAAAAAGATGTGACGTATAGATCTTTCTAGGTGCTTTTCAAGAGAAAACTAATGACATTATTTATCATTATTAATCTAATTTTTGTATAATCCAAATCAAAAACGAGAAAATGGATATCTTGATTTAAATTACTAGTACTGCTTTCATGGGACACTTACTCAGAAATAGCATGATCTTTAGCAATCCGTTATCTCCCTTACGCCAGTTTACAATATCCCACATGACTTGAAATAAAATGAAATGGGGTTTAACGTTCTGCTCCGATTGGGCTAAGGAAGACGGGCATACGCCATGCGGTGTGCTATGAGGGAAACTGTGCCCAGTCAGCGGCGCTACAGCCTACTCTTATATCGAATTCTAACTGCCAATGTATACAGGAATCTCGGGTTTTTCCGTCCCATCTGAATGACTAGACAACTGTCCTTATCAGGCCCTCCGCCTAGCACCACTGACAAGGGTAAACCGCGCCGGAAAATTCAGATGAACTTTCTCGGCCAACACCCGCGACCTCCAGACTAGCGAGCTAGCGTATTTTTTTGTTTCTTGTAGATATATCTATTCACAAATTATACAAAAAACAAAATTCATTTTCATTCTACAAGAATAATCTCACTGGATATTTACAATTTAAAAGTTGTATATACATGTATAAATATACACACATATACACCCACCCATACATACATATACACGTATACATACATTTAAATAAAAGCATATTTTCGGTTGATAGATTATTAGAAATATATCTATTTTGCTTTGGTTAGAAGTTACCTGTGACAAGTTATATTAATATATCTACATGTACATAGTCGAAATGCGATTTACCGTTGTGTTAAAATCACGTTATATATGATTGCATTAGAAAGCATAATTCCATGTTGTAAAAAGTTTCGCTCTTACTTACTTAACCACCGCCCCACCCCACCCTCCTTACACCTAAAGCATAGAGAACAATAAACCACCGCCTGTCTGAACAGAATGGATCAGCTGGATCGGCATCACTAGTTACCGACAAAAACCGAGAAGACCGTTTGTCTTGTCTATATCGCCCGATGTATTGCAAAAAATGACTGACAAGGAAAGATATAGATATATACATTCTATCCAACATTTAAACCATTTCATAAAAAAAAATTGAAACAAAGTATGGATAATTAAAATTGAGGGTTTTGTCGGGGATTAGTAAAACCATTTCTGTCCAAATTTCAATTAATCATAATTTTGTCAATTTTTTTTATGAAATCATTATATTTTGGGTTGGATGTGTAGAATATGCATATCTGTAACACACCTAGGGACCCCGCTGGATGGATAAATGTTAAGGTAAATTTAGTCGGTCCTTACTAAAAGTTGGGAAACACAATCCAATGGAATATATCTACCTTAAACTATACAACCCAGATGTGTAGTTTTAAGTCCGAGTTCCAATATGGGAACGTCACCAAAATTAAAATGTCAATAATTGATTTTAAATATTGAAAATGAAGTAAAGTGGAGTTTAACGTTTTAATTATCTGCACCAACTTGGCCAATAAAGACGGGTATATGCTAGGCAGTGTGCCACGTGTCATCCAATTCCAATAGTCAAGGGGTTTGTCGTCTCATTCGAACGACTAAACGCTGCTCCTTTCCAGACCCCAACCCTATACAACTAACAATAACTTTTGTCCAATCGTTTTTTATGGTACACCATCACTGGCAAGAGGATACCACGTTGGATAATACTATATAAACCAGGAATCCATCATGATATCATCTCAGCCATCAAACATCGATGCGCAATGATTCAGAGAGAGTTGGGGTTTAACGTCCACTCCACACAGACTAGGTCATTTCGGGTCTAACACATGGTTAATTTTTATTTCAATAATTCTCTTGCGCGTAGAGGTCTTTAGCAGTGGGAGAAAACTGTAGGACCCGGAGAAAACCCACGAGGTTGGACAGGCAACCCTACTCATTGTCACGTACAACCGGGGATTCGAAATTGAGTCAACTGGCGTGGTTTCGAATCCCCGGTTGTACGTGATTCAATCTTATTAATAAGAGATCCATAATGGAACCATTTTTAACGAAAATTCATTTTCGTGATTTTATTTTCGTGATTTTATTTTCATACCGTGTAGTTTGCGAGAAATTAAAAATTCCTGATATGATGATCAGCAGCCTTAATCGGAAACTTATCAAAACATAAGAAATATGGAGACGACAAACAGATACCGCAAGAGAATTGATACTGGCGAAGATATTAAAGTTGTGGTCATTTCAGCTTGTTCCCTGGCCACAAGATCTGTCAAACGCATATAACGAAGATCTATCGTAACATAGTAATGTAGAAATCAGAAGAAAAGATCACTTTCTGTTTACATCGCCATTTTATTAATTACTTCCGTCAAATTGTGATGAGTTGGTCGCGTGCATGGCGCGCGCCAGCTGTTGGGGTATAAGTGAACCGTTACAGGTTCAAAGGGCTGACGGGAAATATACAAGAGGTCGTTTCATGTCGAAACGTTTTATGTACCGTTTTAATTCCATGACTTACTTACCTTTCTGTTGATAAATGGCTAATTGAACATGAGTATTTACACTTGTAGGTACTTAAGCCACACAGACCGTCTTTAAAAGACTATTAGACCATAATATACCTATGTTACTTACAAGTACATGATACTAAACACAAACCTAAATGCTACTCACAGGTAAAATTATAACTGTCTATGGTCTTTGATTTACAGAGTGGATAATGACTTCTTAATTTTATTCCTTTGAAGGGAATCTTATTAAACATTTTAATTTTGTTTTAAATTTAAGTCAGTACACAAATTAAAAAAAAAGATACTTTATATATAAGGTATTTAAATGAAATGGGTGAGGCTTATGGTCCAACTGTTCTGCACCAATTGCCAAGGAAGCCGCGATGAATCACTAACCGAGGTCCTGGTTTCGATTCAAATGTTGGCTGAGAAGATGTCTCGGAATAATCCAGTCAGTAATGCAGGTCTGGCACACGTTGGCATGCACGTAAAATAACTCATAACGATTTTAATACGATGCATAGTAGGCGGAAACGGTGATGTCCTGGCACAATTATTCTCCTCATATTTCACTACATCTTCATAATCCCAGTTGGTGCAGAAATGTTGGAGGTTAAACCTTATTACATTTCCATCTGCCAAGGGTTCTTTTTTCGTCCCACCCGAACGACTAAACGCCTTTTAATACCAGATTGGATAATCCCGAAGAACTGATTAGTGAGCCAATATCACAACCCATCGAGCAAATGAGAGAAGGATAACAGACGTGTTCTCTTGTCTTTGGACTCATTTTTGCGATTCGGTCAACAAAAATGTGTACATGTACATTGTACTTCAAGATAATCCAGTACGAATATTAAAGGGCCCCCAAATCAGTATAAAATATTTGTACGATAAATAGGGACCACAGTGCCTAATTCATAATTTTATGATGTTATTTATTATGTTGTGTACTGTTTGTCCCAAATAAAGCTTTCTATTTATCGTGATGAAATACAAATTGCATGTTTGTGAGTGTGACGCCAGAACATGCCCACTTTTCACTGTTGACGCAAGGGCCCTAGTGACATTTTCAGCCAGTGTCCCAATGTAAGCTAATCCTGGTCTATTAAATAATGCCTTTTTATAGTATACAAACAAATGTTGACGTACAACACAAACCTCCAGACACTGAAACATTTAAAGATTACCGCCATGTTTCTATGATGTCAGAGACTTAGCCACGGGAGCCCACTGAGTATGACGCTAACTCACTTACGGGGAGGCCCATTGATGGTTCTATTCCAGTTTGGTCCGGAAGGGTTATGTGGGATATTCCAGTTAACAGAGCTGAGAGCCTGGCAAGAAAAAAAACGTCTAAATGTCTATAAATTGAGAAATGAAATAAAAATGAAATCGAACACCCGACCTCCAAGCTAGAGAGCCAGCGTCTTAACCACCTAGCCACTGTGGCTCCATATAAATTGAGCAAACCAGTCAACAATCATGAGTTCAATAGAAACGATCATGACGCAACGTTAACTACTGTTTGTCATCGGTTGTATTGTTACAAACCATGCTCTTGCTTCATCTTGACTTGCAAATGTTGCAAGACAACGCCATGCTGAACATACAGAATTGGATTAAGGTACCCCGTGATTGAGTGAAAAGTTATTTGGTTTGAAGACCAATGCACAGAACTGTGACCAAGAATATAACTGGAGACCTAACAAGGCGATAAAAATAAGACTTCTTAGAGATTCGATGGTCTTTTTTTTAAAAAAAAGAAAATATATTAGATTTTGGTGTTAGAAAGTCAATCGTATTGTAGTATTTGGCCATAGTAGACAAGTGACTTCCCCATCACTCTAATGTTAAATCTCGTCCCTTTCTACTACAGATGGAACAATATGTTCGTTCGCTCGTTTCTAGAGTTTTACGTCCACGTCCACTTTCGCCCTACTTTTCAACGTGACCACCTCTTAACTTTGTTATCCTTCCGCCTCAAAACCATGGTAATTTTCCAACACCTGACAGAAAACGTAAATTCAGAACCTTCTCTTCGATTTCTACACCAGTCAAGGCAAATCCCCATGCCAAATGGCGGGAGATGGGGGTAAAATGCAAGAATTTATTGGTGGCCTGTGCTCCTTGTACCAAGAGAAATTATTGCGTTGAAACTAGACTTGTCTCCCTTGAATAATACAACCGACCAACAGTCTTGTCGGCCAGGGCGGCATTTTCAACAGCGCAAGCTGTACAGATGTCTGCGATATAAAGACCCAGAACAAACGAGTAGGCCGTAGCACCGCTGCCGGGCCAAAATGTCCATCATAACACACTACATGGCGTATGTATGTCTTCATTAGCCCAGTCGGTGCAGAAAAGTAGAACGATAGACCCCATTCCATTTTTTTAAATTTATTGAAAAAGATAACCTAAAATAATTCCAGAAAACATAATTTTCATTGATTTTGAGTCAACAAAGGACTGTATAAATCATTAACGAATTAATAATATTAAACGAAACGCAAATTGGAGCTGTAACTTTGCAATATACATAACAGTAGTGTACTAACATTGAATCAATCCATTGCCTAAAAGTTTAACCTAAAAAGAATTCCGTAAAACAGAATTTTCATTGATTTTAAGTCAACAATGTCTTTATGAGCAGCTGTATTGAAAATATGATGCCATCAATATTTAAAATTACATGTAGCCAAGCCTTTTCCTGCTTACCTTTGGCATTTAGAGCCCGGGGACACTGTAACGCCCACTATTCTCATTAGGACATGGCTACTCTCTTTCGAAATTCAATAATTATATGGGCCGGATTCCATGGAATTTGCTATTACCATGATTTTAAAATAAATTTGGCATATGAGGTCTTAGGCTTTTATTTTTCAAGAATGCAAATAATCAGGATAATCGTGACAATTTATACTTATTTAAAATTATTTGTCATTCTCATTCATGGTATTCAACTCTGCTGCTGTCTTGCCAGGAATTATTAACTTGTTGTACATTTTAAACTTAAATTTTTCGACTTCTAATCAATTATAAAGAGACCCTTTTTTGAATAAAAATATTAAATAAATTATGAAAAAAATAAATAATCTAAAAAAGACAAATAAATGATTAAATAATAAAAGAAGAACAAATTGAAGCAATATTAAGTTTGATTTTTAAAACTAAGCAATAAATAAAACAATGAGGCTGATGTTCCCTGCCGAATCCCAAAATCAATAGACGACACATATTAATTAATTGCACATTTATCTTTTTCAAAATTATAGAGAAATCAAACTGATTATTTATACTTAGTCTAAGCATAAATTTTCACGATCAAACTCGGTCAAGGTTTTGAAGTGAAACTATAGTGAAACTATACGCTATTAAGTTTTATTACTCCCTATCAGTTAGAATCAAAGTTACTTGTCCCAAAGCCTCGGCCAATAAAATTGCTTAGCTAATGAACATCTATATCCAGTTTAAAGGGCATGTGGCTCTATTTTTTGGAACTTTGAAATAGATGAAAATGGTTTTAAAAGCACATATTCAATTTTTGAATTAATATTGTAATTTCTAATTAATAAAATATGTTCGGTGATATACGGGAACAGTTCAAATTGAACGGCATTCGTTTACGCCTGCTTAGTCCATTCTACACGTTTTTAAAATTATTATTTTGTCGTTTGTGAATCAGCCTTTACTAATTAGTTCCACACTGTCTTGTTGTATGGGGTCACTGTGGCTAAGTGGGTAAGACGCTGGCTCGCATTATTTTCCGACGTGATTCCCCGATGTCAGTGATGAAGGACAGCTGTCTAGTCGCTCGGGTGGAACGAAAAACCGAGGTCCCGTGTACACATTGGCGTGCACGTAAAATATCCCTTGACAGTTGGAATTCGATATAAAAGTAGGCCGTATTGCCGCTGTCTGGGCAAAATTTCCATCCTAGCAGACTGTATGACGTATGCTCGTCTTCATTAGCCCAGTTCGGAGCAAAACAGTAGGACTTTATTTTTATATCTTTTCATTAATTGTGTTTTAAATATTGGATATTAGGATCCTCTAGTTTCACGGCAAGATAACAACATCAATATTGATTGAAATTGATCAATATTGAATTCTAATTCGTGATTTTAATTTCAAATATTATGGAAAATATTGAGTTAGATAATTAGCTCCTTTAAACATTCTACCTCAATTAAAAGCAAATTAAATTGCTTATCGTTACTTGGCGTAAGCAAAAAAAATCTGATCATCGAACATAGCCAAGGTGTTCAGTTAGAACCAAAGTTATCGTGTTCCAAGGTATCAAACTGAACATCTCTGCTTAACCTTAGTGCGCATGATCGTACTGGGTCAAGGCATTCACCTAATAGACACCTACACCAAGTTCAAACATTCTACCTCAATCAGATCGAAGTCTCTACTTTGCCTTAGCAGAAATGCTCAGCATCGAAGTTTGTTAAGGTACTGATGTAATGAAAATATACACAAAGTTTCACTACTACCACTCCATTAGAATCAAAGTTGTCGAGGTCCAAAGTCTCGACCAATCCAATTGCTCATGGCTCTGCTTACAATGAGCCCAAAATGCTCATTATCGGACCTGGTCAAGGTATTGATGTAATGAAACTATACACCAAGTTTCATCGCTCTCACATAATCAGGACCAAAGTTATCGCGCCCTAAAGCACAAACGGCTGATCTCTGCTTACCTTAAGCAGAGAAAATGCCCAACTTCGAACACAATCAAGGCATTCCACCTAAGAAACACCTACCCCGAGTTTGAACATTGTAGCTCAATTAGAAGAAGAGTTATTGTGCCTTAAAAAGTGTGACAGACAGACGGACAGAACCATTTTAAAAGTCCCCTACTTTCTTCGAAAGGCGGAGAACAATTGATACCAATTACATGTATAGATGTATGCAAATATTATTTTCATCAATTATAGATAACATTATTACAAATCCAAAAACAACTAACAAATGTTCAAAATATAAAAATATAACTATATAACATTTTTCAACAATTATGGATAGAAAGTTGTATACCCAATCGAAGTAAAAAAAATACCCCAAACCATACTGGCCTGCTGTGTTCAAATTAGAACAACATTTACAAAAACACGAATTCATGCATTTCGCCTGGCCCAAAAGGTTTCGAAACTTTCGCATGAACTACGAAATCCAATGGGTACTTCCAGAGATATAAGCAAAATGTATAAAGAAAATAATAATAATCCGAAAAAAAACAATAGTGTAAAACTCTAATTAATGTGACTTCCAAACTATAAACTAAACATGCTGTATAGCAACATAAATGAATCTTAAAGCTAAGAACTTTACAGATTTTCATAAATATTCAGTCTTGTTAATAGTTCACTGGTCATTTTATAGATAAAGTCGTATTCATCCTGAAATAAAGAAAATAAAGAACATATTGAGTGTCGTGGATAATTTCTAACAATGGGGCACACATTTCTATGGTCGTTATCAGAAAATCTTCGAGATTAGACTGAAGCACATGATAACAGATAATACCATTTGGAAACATTTGCCTGGCTTATTACTAATACTTACAATCATTACACGGTTTCCAATTACATGGGGTTTAAAGTGATTTATTTTGTTATTAGGTGGGGGGTGGATAAAAATATAAAAAACTAACATTTCTTACCTTATGATTAATAACATCATTCAATGATTGTTGAATTTTTCTTGTGGTGTTAAAAATCTCCACTTCCTTATCAAGTTTCATTCTTTCTAGTATATTTCTTACAATACAAAACATAGCAGCATGTTGCATTTCACTGTAATATAAAATATAATAGTAAACAGTTATCTATCTACCAAGTATAATATCTCTGTAATATAAAATATAATAGCCAACGGTTATCTATATACATTGTAATTATATTGTTTAATATCACTGTACTATATAATATGATAGTGAACAGTTATCTATACATCTATGGAAAGCCAAACAGCTCTTTATTCAGTGTTCTTAGATCTTAATTTATAGTCCTTCATTTGGAGACCAAAATTAAACTTTGTATCATAAAAGCGATATTTGTTTTACAAATCAGAAAATTTACTTTAGAAATCAAAAAATGAGTCTACATTTACATTTCATCAGAGACATACAACGAAAAACCAATCACGAAAATCAAATTTCCAAATACAAATCTCCAAATACCAATCTTGCAAAACATTTACCCAAAATTATTTCTGCAAAATAATTTCGAGAAAATCATCGAACCGGAACATTACGACATGTGCCGAAATCAACATGGCTTCATCCTGTGATTGTTGACATCCCTTTGTGTGTTGTTGTTTCGGTATTTACTTAGAAAGTGTTTTGTAGTACAAACCTGTAAATAACTGTGACTGGATGAGGTGTGGAATCATATTGATCAGTCAGTCGTATCAGTTCTGTAATATCTGATTTCAGTGATTCTAATCCATACCCTCTTCCAGTTTTCAGTATTATCATCTTACACACATGTTGTATGTTCTTTTAAAATATAATATATACAAAAATCACTATGGTGCAGTAATAGTATCTATCATGCAATAACTGCGGTACAGTAATCAGCAATATTGTCTACCATGTAATCGCTGTGGTAGGATAATCAGTGGCCATGTCTACCTTGGTACAGTGATAGTATCTACCACGTAATCCCTTTGATACAGTAATCAGTAATAATGTCTTTCATGTAATCACTTTGATATAGTAATCAGTAATAATGTCTATCATGTAATCACTGTGATACGATACGCAACAACAATGTCTATCTACCATGTAATCACTATTGAACAATAATCATTAATGATGTTTAGTATGCAATCACCATTGTTTAAGTAGTAACAGTCAGTATTTAAACAGCATGTAATTATTAATATTATTTACCTGTTTATAGCTAGTAACAGTCAGTATTTGTAATCCATCTGTTGATAAATAGTCTACTTCTGACGAAATAGTCATTTTGCCAATAATTTCGTTAGTGCCAGAACTGGGATAAACTGACACCTGATTCTGAAATAAAATAACTATATGTATTACACATAACAATCAATGACCTTAGCTTTCAAGAGTCAAATCTATTAACAGAGAATATCTCCAGAACTGAGGCTCATGGCCTTGAAATCGAAATTAAAAACAAACCAAAATGTAGTCATGACTTGGTTGTGTTTAGTTTAGGAAGAATTATTTCTTAGCTAGTAACTTTGCTTTCAAGAACGGAATCTTTTTACAGAGAAATTTTTTAGAACTCAAGTCCATAGCCTTGAAATCGAAACAATAAAAAAAAACAGTCACGTCTTAGTTTTGTTTAGTTTCGGTAGAACAATCATTTTACATTGTTTAAATATAATTAAATTAAATCGAGAAAGCATTTCAAACAAATCTAATTAAGGAGTTTCCTTTAAAATCCCACCTTGGGTATATTTTAATATGCTATTACCTGGTCATTTAATATTACCACAGCTACAGAACTTTCCTGATCTCTGATTAAATTCCACAATGATTCCATGTCATGCCCTTTAATATCACTGATAACATAACCAATACTTTTCTTCCATGACTATTAAAGTAAATACATGATTTAATATTACTGAAAAATAATCACCACTTTTCTTTCATGATTTGTAAAGTAATATCATTAATATCATTGATTATATATTCATTTCTTCCATGACTAGTAGCGTAATAATATGAATTGTAACATGGACGGGAAATTTTCCTTTGTTCTTTTTATTGAATAAGCAGATTGTTTCCCCTTTAGTGGATTGGGTGGAGCTTAACCGCGCAATGACTAGACATGTTTCCCGTCTTCATTAGCCCAGTTCGGAGCAAAACAGTAGGACGTTAAACCCCATTTCATTTCATTTCACTAGACATGTTTAATGTTATTGCACTCTTTTGCTGCTTTACGCCAGTTTTAGTAGAAATCATATAGAAATCAAGTATGTTGAGCTTGTGTCAATGTTACAAGTCATTTATAGCACGCTTTATTCGATAACAGGTTTATCATCTCAGCCTACGGTCTCGATGTTTAAACCTGAAACCTGAAAGCTGTGCGATAAATATAACTTAATAGTACTGATAGCACAAACAATACTTTTTTCTGTGACTAGATAGCTGATAGAATAACTCCTACTTTTCTTCCATGACTAGTAAAGTAATAATATAACATTAACCACTTTTCTTCCAAGATTAGTAAAGTAGTAGAGACATGATTTAATATAACAGATAGCATAATCACTACTTTTCTTCCATGTCTAGTAAAGTAATAATGATATAACCAATACTTTTCTTCCATGACTAATAAAGTAATAATATGATTTAATGTCTTGAAATTTATCCGGACATATATGGGTAATATGGTGTAAGTATAGTAAGAATAACTATTATTGGTTAATGTACTGAACATATAAATAATATCCACAATGTTTGAAATTTAAAAAATACGAATTAGAATCCAACATTGGTCTAATACAATCAATATTGATGTTGTTATCTTGCAATAAAAATATGGAATCCCAATACCCAATATTTAAGACACAATGAACATTTCATAATCAGTGCACGAATCGTGTATTCTATGGTTTCGAGTGCCATTTGTAATGCACAAAGGAAAAACATATTCTACAGTTAATGCGGAAGTAAGTAGTATAATGGCTGATTTATAAATGACAAAATAATAATAAAAAACGTGTAGAATGGACTAAACAGGCGTAAACGACTGTCGTTCGATTTGGACTCTTCGCGTATTTCACATTAATATGTGCTTTTAGGCCCATTTTCGATTTTTTTAAGGTTCCAAAGAATAGAACCATACGCCCTTTAAGTGTTATAGCCGTCTGATAAATCACATTTAAAATACTTACTGAAGCTCTGTGAATATCCAACTGTGGTTTCTCAGGTACATAGATCTTATTCTTATCTGCTGCAAACAAAACAAGAAACAAAACGAGCGTTGGGCGTAAATGTGCGATAAAAAAATAGGCGTCTTCCTTTTGACCCAATGAACACTCAATAGTCAATACTCAAATCAAATTTGAAAACAACCGGTACATAATTTTGACCTGTAGGTTATTCACAAGATTTTGATTACCTTAAAATAAAGTAAGAAATTAGACCCACCCGATAACTTGATCCAATTAATGGTTTGACGTTTATTCCGTGTGGACACGTATTAATTCCTGGTCCATATCGCGTATCCGTATCGATTTTGAGTGTAACGTCATCAATGTGTGTGTATTTCTCATACGTGATACGGCACACGGATACGGCAACACGTATCGAACAGCTTTCATACGGAAAAAGTCCGTATAACATCGTCGTCAAAGACTGGAATTTGATCATTAGTTTTGATTAGTTTTTCTCCGAATTTTCATATTTTATTTCTGCCTGTCTGTCTGGATGGTGGTCGATCTACGTGCTAAATTTTGGGAGGTGGGACCTTGCAAGTATGTAAATCATGTGATTCTATGGTAAAGGGTATAAATTATCTCTTTGGAATGATACATTAGTGTAACCAAAAATTCGACATTAAATTTTATTTAATATCTCAGCGACTGTCAAGCGACTTTTCTCCTTCCAGGAATTTGTAGGCTAGACACTTGACTAGTACTGGTGGTTATCTTGGTAGATAAATGCCATCATGCTGTAATAGAACTAAGCTCAGCTCAGCTATACTCATACTACCCGGCGCGAAAATCTGCCAGATCTCTAAAACTACATTGACGCAACGTATCACGTATTCATATCGTGGCGACACTGATACGTGATACGGTCGAGAAAATTCCGCTTGTCAATTCCGCTATTAATCCCAATTTTTTTATGTTCACCAAATGAAATTAATTGGGTTTAACGCTGTGCCTTATTGCACCAACCGGGATATTGAAGACGGCCGTACGCAATTTTGAAACTTTTTCCCGGCCAACGGCTTTTCCGCCTACTTTTCGACAAATTCCAACTATCAAGGTTTCCTTTACGTGGACGCTAATGCGTGGACGATGACTATCGTATTAAATTATCTAAATCACCTTCGTTTATCATTCCTTTTAGCAACTGCAGTTCTTTGTTTCTAAAACATTTTGTCAAATGGAATTTCTTAGATTTTCCAGATATCATTTCGTACTCTAATACAGATGTACTAGTCTTTCCATATTTAAATGCTTCAACCAAAGCTTCATAGACAAACTTAAGTTGAGTCTAAAACAAAACATGAAAATTACAAATGAGAGATAAGAGGGCGTGAGGAAGATAGAGAGTGATGTGACATTAAAAGGCAATTTTACAGTTTCAGAGTGCGAGGGAGATAGAGTAAGATGTAGGCCTATCATCAAAGGGCAATGATACAGTTTCAGAGAGAGAGAGAGAAAGAGAGAGAGAGAGCGGGGGGGGGGTCAATCCTTACTCATTAAAACTTGACGCATAAAATGATTAAAATCGATCAATATTTAAGTTCTATCGATTATCCGATATCATGTATCCATGAACATCGAGGTCAAGATGGCATCGAACCTCTGTTTATTCATTTACATTACTATCTAAAGAATACTTTTCAGACCTTATTTTCGTTAAATTTAAATCGGAAATTGACCATTAGCCTGCTATAGTATTGACACATTAGGACATATATCAAATTGTTAATAGATCCGGAGCTATTAGCCTACACCAAATATAGTTTATGTGAGGATGTTCTAGTTTCCGATTTATCTGAATCAGATGATTATCGCTTTCCGATTGGTCATATTAACGCTAGATATATACATACGGCTGTTTGTATCATGCCCTTTCGTTGACATCTCATAGTTTTAAGAAACTGTAGAACGTCAATACTTCCTGTAGCATTTCCTTCCTTCAGAAGAGCATCTATAGCTACAAATGTACCAGTTCTTCCTATACCAGCACTATATAATATAAAATGATATTACTTATGTAAAGTAAATTAACACCAGCATTGGTATGAAAACGTAACCAACTAACGAAACAAGAACGACGTTTTCGCCAAGAGTTCATTTCCGTGAACGCCGATATAGGGACCTCCGGGTTTCGTCCCATCCAAACGACTAGGTAGTGTCCGTTGCCAAAATAAAGCTTGTATTAGAACAGACTGCATATATCTATTAACAGCGAAAGCTTGTAATAGGACAACTCACAGTCCTTGCTCACAGAATAGATAGGTAGTATCAGGTGTTCCAGTGTTTTACATTTTGATCTAAAACCAAATGCATTAAAATGGCACGTTTGTTCTCACCTGCAGTGAACTAGAGTAGGCGAGTTTGAATCGGCTTTATAATCTTGAACACAATATAGAAAATCTAATAAATCTGCAACTTCCGGTACGTCATGGTCAGCCCAAGCTGTAAAATGAAACAAAAGGGTCTGGTGCTCTTTGCCGGACTGAAAATATAAAATATCAAAAAAATTAAAAAATTTAATAAACGACAAAGTTTAATGATGCAAAATGTGTGTGTTTTAAAGTCTGGTCATTTTGATATGCGAAAAGGTCTAATTTTATGCCTCCATGTAGTACGAGAATGGGAGAATTATGTGACGTTTCAGTGACGTTTCGGTCAACGCGACTTCAAATTCCAACAGCCAAGGGATGTGTACAAAATGAGATGAAGCAAAATTCAAGATTCGATATCCTTAAATACAGGAGATACTCCCTTTGAATTGAAATACATTATTGGCTGAAACAAATTATGATCACCTTCAAATGCTTTAGGCTGATCTTTCTAGTTGTATAGCTTGCTCGTTGAATTTCTTCATCTAGAATAAGTTCTAGGTTACCGAACACTTCTCTTCCAGTCTCCGGCCAATACCTTTCACACTTAATCTGAAATCAAATTATGACAATTTACGATCTTTAATGTAGATTCTAAAACCAGGGGGCATATGTTAAACCATTTAGGCCATGCGGGATATTTTAAGCTTCGTTAGCTTCTCAGACCTTTTCCCAAATATTTTTCAAATTTTTCCCATTTCCTAATTTGGTTGAATATTTATGTAATACCCACCTATTTCATAATCCAGTTTAATACCCACACATTTTCTTATTTGGTTTAATATCCAGATGTTTTCCAATTTGGTTCAATACTAATCTATTTTCCAATATGGTTTAATATCCACCTATTTTCTAATTTAGTTTAATACTAACCTATTTCCTAATTTGATAATATCCACCTATTTCATAGTTTAGTTTAATATCCACATATTTCCTAATTTGGTTCAGTGCCTACCTATTTATTAATGTGGTTTAATACCAATCGTTTTTCTAATTTGGTTTAGTACCAACCCTTTTTTCTAATTTGATTGGATATCCACAATATATTCTCCAATTTAGCTCTTACATAATGCATATTTATTGAGACTGCTTTTCTTTACATTTTGAAATAAATTCCTATGTTGTAATGAATGTATACATTATAAAATTTCTGAGTAATATGTACACAGTTTAAGCACTGCCTGCAATTCCCAAATATTACGGTTTGTATGTGCATATATGCTTTATTATCTATGCCACTGCATACCAGAAAAAATGTCAAATATACAGTTAAAAAACTTGCTTAATGAAAACTACGGTTTTTTTTACATAATTTTGACTAGAGAAATATGTGCCTTTACAGAACTTACCTTCCTGGATTCAACCAAATTTGTTAACATAACAACCTTGACAACTTTCTCTTCAAAAATCATCCTGATAAAGTCGTTTATCGTTACTTTAGTCGGACCTGGATTTATAGAAAATAATACATGAAATGTATTTCTTTAAAAATAATATAACTTCTTTGGTTTGGGTCAAAATAATTTTTCTGTTCGGTGTCCGAAATCTCTAAGCGATTTAATTTTCATTTATGAAGGGTACTTGATCTGGTTATCATTCGGTGTGACTGTCGACTACTACACAAGTACAAAATGCTGGGTACAGAGACACGACATTTAAATATGACGCCATTCTTAATGATTCACGCAAATGAAGACGTAAAAGGCGCTAACCTCCTTGATTTAGGTGAACTATAAGCTATAAAAGTGTGTTGATCCAGTGTATTATGCAATTATTGAAAGTTATTGAATAAACTTTATATGATGTAATTTTTGTTTGGACAGATTTGTTGAATTGTCGGAATGCGGTAGTTCCCAATCAACACAGCGAAAACTCGTCTATAATATAATTATTTCACACCTTGTGTATAGCAATATTACACGAGTATAAACGGCAGACGGGTTGTCTACAAATTTTTAAATGATGACATATATTCATATCAAAAATAAGTAACCCGGATCAAAAGGGTGTACCACTTTAATTTATCGTTCCTACGACAACAGAGTGCAATGAAAATGAAGGAATTACATACCTTGTGCTGCTATGAAAAATTGGCTCTGCCTGTAACTCTGAAATACACAAGGCATTATTTTAGGTGGTGCGTGGCTGTTCGATAAAAGTAAATGGATGAAGACTCTCTTTCTTACAGGGACTGGTCGGACATAGCGATGGCTTTGTTGTCTACTTCTCCGAATGTATACGAAAACTACAGATGTTTGTAAACCATCGGTTTCACTACTAATTTGAGTGACAATGTCGACTTCAGATGGTATACTTGGTATAGGGTAGGATGGATGTTTCCATCGCAAGTGATCGTAACGAGAGGAGGAGGGTGACTTACATCTACGTAGCTGACATTAATATAACAAGTTGTAAAAAACTTACATCTACGTAACTGGCGTTAATATAATTAGAATGTGGATCATTTCCAACTTCACTGAGTATAACACGATTGTGGTCATCTAAAATAAAACAAAACATATTTCCTTAATCTTACCGCGTTATCTTCCTAAATTCTGACTGATATCATAGGAATTGGTTGTGATTTTAGATTTTACAACCCATTGATTTCACTTCTTTAAAACAAAATCAAGTGTTACTGGTAATATTTGACCTGAACAGCTGTTAATCGTAGATTTGAAAAAGAAGTTCAGTGATCGAGCTATAAAAGAATTAATGAATGAAATGGGGTTTAACGTCCTACTGTTCTGCCCCGAACTGGGCTAATGAAGACGGGCATGCGCCATACAGTGTGCTATGAGGGAAATTTTGTGACACTACGACCTACTCTTATATCGAATGCCAACTGCCAAGGGATCTTTTACGTGCACGCCAATGTGTACACGGGACCTCGGTTAGCTACAAAAGACATTCAGTGGTCTACCTAGAAAAGAGGTTGATATAGAGAAGATGTTCATTGGTTGATGTAGAGAAGACGTCCAGTAGTCGATGTAGAGAAGGCGTCCAGTGGTCAATGTAGAGATGACGTCCGGTGGTTGATTTAGTAAAGACGTTCAGTCGTCGATGTAGTGAGAATTTAGAAAAAGAGATATAACGCATCAATTTTGATGGATATTAAGGCACAGGTTATAGGGGATTTGGGGTATAGGTATGTTTCATCCACATTACAAGTAGCGGGAAGCTGAACAATTGACTTATTTAGAATTGATCCCCCCCCCCCCCTTGCGAGGAGAGCTTATGGATGGTCTTATAAAGATTGCTAAACAACTAAATACTCACAAGGATAATATCCCAGATATCTATTCTTGGCTCTGTTTTCTTGAATTTGTGAATCGTCATATACAGCACTGAACTCTGACGACAGGCCCTTGATTTATACATAAACAATATATAAGTGAGTTTTAGGTAGTTTAACCCTACATTGAATTCATGATTCTGATCCAACAACTTAAATATGTTCGACCTCTCCCCCCAACAAGCCTCCCATAATATAATTGACAAAAACGCCGCTGTCAAGGCAAATTTTACTCATATCACACTGCATGGCGTCTACATGCCTCCATCAGCCCGGTTGCTGCAGAAAAGTAAGGCGCTAAACCCAATATTATTCCATTTATGTGTGGCTGGAATCAATAAGAACTACACCTACCTTGAACATATCAGTAAAGACACCTTGTCTTGAATTTAGCTTAGTAAACACATCTTCCAGATGAGCTACATCAATTCTTTTGTTCTGTACAACGGATTGCAAGTTATAATAATTGGTCTCGGACTCTTGTTCACACACATTTGGGGGCGACTTTTCTCTCTTGGATGGTTTCTTCTGTTCCTTATTATTAATCACCTTCTTTGAGAGGGGATCTTCAGAACTGTCCTCGTATTTTGTGATAGTAGCCAGCTCTATGGCAAGCATTTCATCGTTTACATAAGTGGGATCAGCCCCTGTAATTCAAAATGTATAAATATATCTATATAACATTATTAGTATCCCCATACATTATCCTTATTAATTATTGTCCCTGTTAGCTTTCCTATTAGTATCCCAAATATCTCCCCCAGTAGTATCCCTATAAAACTAAATAGTAAGCTTAATTCATAAATACCGTTTACTGGTACATTATGGTTTCCATTATTACAGCTTTCGGTCACTGGTTCCGTTGTTACTTCATCAGAGTTCTTATCTTTTCTCGATTTTCTATAGAATATATGTTGGTATAGAGTAAAAATATAATTTGTGTTACTCAAAAATATAAAAAAAAACGCGGGGTTGGGTAGCCGAATTGTTAATGCATGCGCGTTGGATAATAAGGTCTGACATTGAATCAAGTGGGTTTTCTCCGGGTCCCCCGACTTCCTTCCACTGTCAAAGATCCGTACGCGTAAGCGAATTATTGAAATAGAATTGAGTCACATGTTAATCTTGAAATGACCTAGTTTGTGTCGAGTGGACGTTAAACCCAATTTCTTTCTAAATATACATGAAGATCAGATTTAAGAAAAGATTTGGTAGCTTCAGCGATAAGTTTTCTAGTTCTTCCAGCTTTCTGTTAAAGACACGTGGAATGCATCGCAATACTATCAATTTTATCTTGATAAAAATGCCAGAAATATATATAACTTAACATGCAGTCACGAACAGCCAATTACACTGGAATTCAAACTGCGTGAGACATTTTCTTATTAACAACAGTTTCTCAGGTAAACCGGTTAAAATTCAGCGAGACAGATGGATAGAAAAACCTTGATGTATTAAAATGGTAGAAATACTTTTACCTGCGACGATACATGATAATGATAATCACGACAACAACAGCTAATAGTAACACAACTACTGATGAAATAACAGCTTTGTTATCCACAGCAGACGTTTGGATTTCTGTAGAAATAATCGAAAACATACATGATAAATGTTATCTTCCAAATAGATTATTTGTACTGGTAGTCACGTATAAAGTCGACTTCTTGAGCAATTGACTTATATTACAGCATCAACAATTCTTTAATGATTGATTTACATTACGGTTTCTAAACAAATCTTTTCTATTCCAGGGCCTATAGTTCTTGAATAAGTCCAAATATATTCCTGTGCCAACAGTTCTTGCATAAGTTATTTAATTATTCCATAAATTATTTATGCCCATGTGTCAATAGTCCTTGAATATATTCATGTGCTAACAGTACTTTAATATAAGTCATTTATATTCCATGCCAACAGTCCTTGAATGAGTCATTTATATTCCATGACAACAGTCCTTGAATAAGCCCATGATAGTAAATACAAAGCAAATTGCCTTTGGAAAAGCCGATACTTACCGTGACTGCAATCAAGACCTTTATAACCAGGTAAACAATCTCCATAACATGATCCATTATTATGATTACATTCAGTATTTGGTATTCCACACTTTCTGTTATTACATGACTGTTTACACCGTTCACCATAAAACCCAGGCTGACATTCTTAAAACAAAATTGTATTATCAGTTATACCAACTGTATAACCAACACTCTGTTGCTGGGTCGCATGTCGATAGTATAACATTATTGTACCTCGTATAACCAGCATCTTGTTACATGATGTCTGTCTATATTTCATATCTTACTGTTTTTGCCATGTAATCAATAAAGTCGATGTGTACTCTTGGATTAATTTTCACTATATAATTATTAATTTCCCCGTGTAATTAACAATTTCCCCATGATTCACTGCACTGCAGCATCTTTGCATGATTATATTTGATAAATAGGGAATCTCCTACCAGTCTTTTTTGATATCAAAAAATATCACCACAAGTTGATAAAGTAACAAAAAACGAGGCTCTGCCGATTTTATTTATCCCCCAATCCCTTCTGACATGCACAAATAGATGAATATAATTCTTTGCTGTAGATTTAACTTTTACTGAACATTATGGCGTAGAGATATACTCAGCCAAATTAAAAACTTGACACTCGGGATTTTTGGAACTAGATTTTTAATATTTGGTTTAAGGCAACTATTTTAGTGTTATGTTGTGCACAGACGACCTTGACATCAACAGAAAGCAAGAATACGTCTCGCCGAAAGAGCTGAGCATTCTTGCTATAATAGCGCAAAAACAGATAATGTAAAATAAAAATTTCATTCAAATTACTTCATTCTGAGTTAAATGATCACTATTTGTAGTTTTGACAAGATGTGTGCATAGTTGTAACCAGGCCACTGGTATATTCAAGACTTAGTCTCGCTTTCCCATTTTTAAATTAAAATTTTAAATGGCGAACTGTTTTAATCTAGTTAAAATCTCGAGTATCTGATGCCATCGAGAGTTGATCATGATCTTGTTTTGTTAATACCTGCAATAAGCAGATTTAGCTCTGATATACCTGTCTTTCAGCAAACAGTCAATACGGTCTAAATCATGATAATATGCCCGTCTTTCAGTATATAGTCAATATGGTCTAAATCATGATATACCCGTCTTTCGCCAAGCAGTCAATACGGTCTAAATCATGATTCGCCGGTCTTTCACCAAACGGATAATACGGACTAAAAATGATTCATGTACAGTCATCTTTCACCACATTGATCAGTTATTTTTATTTTATGCAATCACTCCCGTTTTTACCACACTGACAAGTCAGATGATATTTGTTTATATTTTATAATTTTACCTTGAGTACAATCACCGCCTTGATATCCTGCATTACATTCTTCATTGTTACATTTACCATCAACATGGTTACATTCAGAAGGCTGTCGACAGTGACGTGAATAACAATCTTTAGAACAATCTTTACCATACTTGTGTATACCATATGATGCCTGACTATTGAATCCTCCATCATTACATTCTGTAGATTTATAATTTAATATATTAACACGAATTTTTAATATCCAACTTATTTAATATTACATTCAATCTGACTAACCGTCTAAAATCAAAATTGTTTTCACTGCATTTGACTGACAGTCTTAAATTTTCTTAGACGAAATATAAGAAATGTAATCTATAGGATATTTTTTTTCAACCTTTACCATAGTTAATATAACAAAACTGAAAATGATTGGGAAGTTTAGATTTGTCTTTGATTCCATAAAGTAGTTAGGTTTTTAAACGTTAAATAGGTGTAATTAAACTTGGTGCCCGAATGGGTTTAATATATTTATATGAGAGTCAAGGTTCGGACTATGCCTTGGAAATTAGAAGTGGGGGCGACTAGCATGTGTCTCTCTTTTGTGGACCGAAGTTAGATTGTCCATTGTATTAACTGGACGGGTAGGTCTGTTATCCTTCGGTTATGTGTCTTTGTTAAATGAGTGGCTTCTTTTCAAAAAGATCTGCTCTGGACCGATTTGATTCTACGGTATCTCTAATAGCTGAGAGAATAAAGATTTTTTAGCCGAAAGAATATCTTCCGTCAAAGTTGTGGTTGATTCCGAGGCAAAAAGAGGAATCACAACAAAATTAGCCATAACGAGAGTGAGATAATATAAGAGATTTGAGTGGCTATGGAGACCTAGTTATTCCGGGTGTCATAATTAACATACTAAAAAACCCTCATTGTCAATTACATACTGAACATATTCATATTATAGCCAATGATCAAGGAATCGTTATTTTTCAATTGGATAAACAAACGGTTGACATCCACGAGACGCCCAGAGATGGGAAAATCAATAGGACTAATCATTCATTGTCCCAGTGATTTACATCGAATATTAGTGAGTTTTAATGCGCACCACAATCGAACATATTCAAGATATTTTGATCCTTGACATATTGTTTTATGTTTCCTCGGAATTGGACAGAGATTGTAGCACCTTGAGTATCTACAAACATCATACATATTTCACATTTTGCTTAAAAGGCAGGGGCTATGACTCTAGAATAGAAGGTCTGATGTGTGTCAAAATCGAACACGAACAAGATCGTCCACTCAACTTTGTACATATTTTTTTTACATTTTTAGTAAAATGCAGGGGGCATATCTCCAGCATGGAAGGTCCGATCCGCACCATAACTGAACTCCTCAAAGAATCTTTGTTACCTAAAATATATTCCAAGTTTCATCTAAATCCGACAACAATAATTGTCGTACAATCAGATGCCATAATCCAGGAAGTTATGTACCAAAATCGAAAGGAATCGAGATCTTTGAGATATAAATCGATATTTCAAGTTTCGTCAAAAGCTTAGATAAAACGTCTAATTCAGTCAATAGAGAGATGAGAGTTCAACAGGGGATTCTCGCTGGCAGATGATAGACCAAATATAGTCTTTTTTCACTGTACTTTCACTGTTACTTGAACATGTATAACGAACTGAGATGAACTGTAGGATTTTCTATTGACCTGTACCAGTCATAGTTGTTCCGACTTGCTTTCACATATTTTCCGCCTGTATATTTGAACTCGACAGAATCACATGGAATAATCTTAAAACTTAAGTATTTATCTGTCTTTGCTGGTCAAGTGTTTCCACGTGGCTGTTGAGGAAGATTGAATAGCCCAAGAACGTAAAATCGCTTACATATCTCATCAAACATTTGCACTATATTCAAATATGGAAAATGAGGTAATATTACCTTGAGTACAATCATCACCTTGATACCCTGCACTACATCCTTGATCACATTTACCGTCAACATGGTGACATGACGAAGGCTGTTGACAGTGACGTGACTTACAATCTTTAGAACAATCTTTACCATACTTGTATGTACCATATGAAGCCTGGCTATTGAATCCTCCATCATTACATTCTGTAGATTTATAAATTAATTTATTAACATCCATGTTTAATATTCCATTTTATTTGACAGATATTCTAAAATCTTCTTACTACTGTATATAATAATAATCTTCTATATATATATTTGTGACTGTCGTTTGTCTGTCTGTCTGTCTGTCTGTTCGGGGTTGGCGGCTACACTAGGTCTGCCCCGAGTCTGAAATTTGGGGTATAGGGGTAGCTCGGACCGGGGAGTAAGATAGGCCAGGTGGCGTTAGTCTACCACTTCCGGTTTCGGAGTTATGACCCCCGAGCGAAGCCGGGTATCTGTCTGTTTGCCTGTTCGGGGTTGGCGGCTACACTAGGTCTGCCCCGAGTCTGAAATTTGGGGTATAAGGGTAACTCGGACCGGGGAGTAACATAGGCCAGGTGGCGTTAGTCTACCACTTCCGGTTTCGGAGTTATGACCCCGAGCGAAGCCGGGTATCTGTCTGTCTGTTCGGGGTTGGCGGCTACAATAGGTCTGCCCCGAGTCTGAAATTTGGGGTATAGGGGTAGCTCGGACCGGGGAGTAACATAGGCCAGGTGGCGTTAGTCTACCACTACCAACCCCGAACAGACAGACTTCGCTCGGGGGTCATAACTCCGAAACCGGAAGTGGTAGACTAACGCCACCTGGTCTATGTTACTTCCCGGTCAGAGCTACCCCTATACCCTAAATTTCAGACTCGGGGCAGACCTAGTGTAGCCGCCAACCCCGAACAGACCGGATTCGCTCGGGGGTCATAACTCCGAAACCGGAAGTGGTAGACTAACGCCATCTGGCCTACGTTACTCCCCGGTCCGAGCTACCCCTATACCCCAAATTTCAGACTCGGGGCAGACCTAGTGTAGCCGCCAACCCCGAACAGACAGACAGACAGACAGACAGACAGACAAACGACAGTCACAAATATAGATAGAAGATATGTAGAAAATCATTTAACAGTGAACACAAACATTATTCTGATATCCCACCTCATTCACCCCGTCGCATTTAGCAATCAATCACATACGACAGTCAATCACATACTGGGTTATTTCTTACTGTGTTTCCACTGTCTGATACAATCGTATTTCAGCCACTGCACAGTACGGACAAACACATGACACACTCGCCTTTCATGATACATGTACAGCCGCCTTTCACCACATTGATCAGTTATTTATATTTTATGCAATCACTCCCATCTTTTACCACACTGACAAGTCAGATGATAATTATTTATATTTTATAATTTTATCATGAGTACAATCACCACCTGCATTACATTCTTCAATATTATATTTACCATCAACATGGTTACATGAAGAACGCTGTCGACAGAGCAGTCATGCCACTTCCGTACATGTATATTCCATATGAAGCCTGAATATTGAATCGCCCGTAATGACATTCTGTGCATTTTTGAATTAATATATTAACATCCATTTTAATATTACATTCAATGTGATTGACCGTCTAAAATCAAAATTGTTTTCACCATATTTGACTAATAGTTTTCAATTTTCTTCGACTAAATATAAGAAATGTGATCTACAGGAATGATAAATCATGTTTTTTTTTCAACCTTTACCATGGTTTACATAATAAACACCCTCATTGTCAATCACATACTAAACAAATACATAGAGCCAATGATCAAAGATTCGTTATCTTTCCAATGCATGATAGGGCCAATCCTAGCTCATTGTTCCAATTATAACGAATTCTATTTAAGATCTTTTTATCCTTGACATATGTTTTAAGTTTCTTCGGAATAGGCTAAATATTGTAGCATCTGGAGTGTCT